GGCATGCTGAGATGTCGCTTCAATAAAAATCAACGTTGGATTTGGTGTCATCGTGAAGTTGCTCAAAGTTTGCATGATGATAGCTGCCATTCCGTACCGACGCGTCAGAATTTTCCATCGCCAACACGCACTTGAGTTTCGGGCCCACGCGTCTGTCTTCAGTCCACTTGTCGAGTAATGACGCCGGGGGCACCATCTTTAGCGCTCTGTCACACAACCGAACGAGCCGGGCTCGAATCCAGGCACGGTCACAAATCTCCCTCCCACGTCTCGAGAAGCGCCGCATACTGCTCCGATCTCATGCCCACCACAGCTGCATGCATCGCTGACCGACGCCACCCTTAAAAGCCCCACTGTGTGACGGTTTCCGCCCCACTGTGTGACGGTTTCTGCCCCACTGTGTGACGGTGTGCACCGACGGCTTCAGCGCAGCGATTTCTGGACACGGCCGACATGACGGTCGCCGAGATGGCAGCACTGGTCACCGCCCTGCTGGTGGCCGCCATCTGCATCGGCCTGGCTATCGGCGCCTACATGTTCCTGCGCGTGCGCCGCAAGATGGACCCGCTCCGTGAGCGCCTGCAGTCCAGGGAAGCCGGTAGGTGGTGACAGCAGGTCGATGACGCCGGTAGATGGCCCACACAGACCTTCTCAGGGACGCCGCTAGATGGCTCCAGTAAGCCAGAAAAGCCGGCGCACGGCAGTGGCAGATGCCTGTTGTGTGCGCGGCAAACACGAAGAGGACATACTGTGGGCGTCGCGGCTAACAAGAGTTTTGTCCTGAAGCTCGTGCCAAATCTACGACGACTCCCTCCATGAGCGAGGTTTGGCGGCGGGACTCCCAAAGACGGGTCGGGTCTCACGAGATGTCTCTGCAGATAACCTTACAACTGAACAAAGGAAATAAGCTGTATAATCCGTCCCCGTTAACCTCTATCTTGCTTCATCCTGTATCCTCGCAACACCCCGCTTGTCCAGGACAGGCTACATGCGTCAGCCACGAATGGGTCGAAGGGAAGGACCCCGACCGGATACCCAGTGCGCATGAGCGAGTTCAAGTTCGGCGGTTTCCTCCCAGGCGCATACAAGCCCACCCCACCGCTAACCACTTTCTTTCATCCCATTGTCTTGAAATGATCGTTTCTGGTCGAAAGGGCTCTAATAAAAAAAAACAACCAACCAAGCTGCATGCCTCCCTGGCGCTTCATGTTTCAGCGCGAGAGGCGCACGGATCGGTCGCGCGCCACATCCGTGACCCGCTGACCACGCCTCGTCCGCAGACGTGGGCGAGCTGGAGCGGATCCAGTTCCTGACGCGGCTGCGCGCTCTGCGCCCCGAGACGCGCACGTTCCTCGAGCTGCTGCACGAGCCGCGGCCGCGGAGCCGCTACTCCGGCGACGAGGGCACGGGCCGCAGCAGCAGCCACGCGCCCCGGTGAGGCGCGTTAGGACGGGGCCAGGCGGGGCTCAGCGGGTGGGTGGAGTGCGGAGGGTGGCGCGCCGGGGAGAGTGTGGGACGCGACGGTTCGGTGCACCAGAGAAGGCGTCTTCACGGTGTTAGCAGCGAAGAGAGCAGAGGGAGACGAAGGTGCTGGGAGAACATTAGAGACATGGGGACACTGGGAAGGCCATGACTGCGCTGCAGAATACCACAAACTGTAAGTCAACATGCGGGGTTCTACGTCCGCTCTTTGCTTTACCGAAATCATGCTTTGTTTTTAACCTTTCATGTCTTCGTGAAGATGAGTAATTACAAATACCACCTCTGTAAAGTGTAAGCTTGTGTGTCAATTCTGCCCGCGCGACACTTTTGGAATGCTCCCCCACTTGACCGCCTCGTCTAAGCCTGTCTCGTGTGCTGCCCTGCTCCAGGACGAGTCAGCACGACCTGCGACGACTGCTGGTGCTGCTCAGCAGTCGGGAGCAGCAGCTGCGGCCCGTCCCCGCCGATTGGGACCGGCTGCTGAGCTGGGCCGAGCGGCTGCTGCGCCAGCAGCGCCAGCAGCGGCTGCACAAGGTGAGGCGGCTGCGGCGGCTGCTGGAGCAGCCGTCAGCGCCTGGGCTCCGGAGCCGGCCGCGCGGGAGCAGCGCACCCCTGGGACTGCGCGAGAGGACCGCCTCGATGACGCTGGGACTGGACTGGTAGACGAAAAGCGGATGTTGGTTTGACAGAGGCCAACCGCAATATTGTTTGGTGGTCGCATAGAAGACACATCCTTACTCCCTTTACACGCCATACTGAGGTCATTTATACGAGTTTAGTGTGAGGCAGTGTCCGAAGTTTCGTAAGCGGCTGCATGCGGAGAAGGTGCGAGAGCATGTTTACTGCCATTTCGGAGTCGATGGTCGAAGTGCCCTCCAGCCATCACTCTGTTTCCTTTTGCAGGGCGCCAGCTCGGTGCCGCACATCGAGTACGTGGCGGGTGGCGGCGTACACGGTCCACGACGCTCGCGCTCGGCCGGCGCGCGCGTCCCGCCGAGCGGCTCGTTCTTCAGCCTCGCCCAGACCGTGATCGAGGAAGAGGAGGACGAGCCAGCCGGCGCCAGCAGCCTTCCGCCGGTGGCGACGCGCCGTGCCGCCCGGCGCGACCGCGGCCGGCGCCGGCGGCCGGCCAGCGCCGCCCGGCTGGGCCGACCTGGCCGGCGGCGGCACACCGGCAGCGTGCCGGCCGGCCTCGACGCGCCGGCCGTGTTCGTGCATCGCGTCAACGGCGGCCAGGGCGCGCTGTGGGGCCGGCCCGGCTCGGCGCCGGTCGGTGCCGCGCGCCCGCCGTCGGCCTCCCCGCCGGGGGCAGCGAAAGCGAAGGCGGGAGCGGGGGTGGGGGCGGCGGCAGCGACGAAAGCGGCGGCAGGGGCGGGGGAGCCACGCCCGACGTACCGCGACTGGCCGCTGGACCGGCTGCGGCAGCTGCGAGGGCGCCCGCGGCCGCGCCGCCGCCGCAGCCCCGACTGGGAGGCGGCCGAGGGCGCGAGCGGCCTCTCGGCCGGCAGCACGGCCGGACTGCTGTGGTCAGCGCGGGTGGACTCGGGCCGGCCGCACAGTGACCTCGTCGAGCCGGACCGCGCCAGCTTCGGCGGGCGGTACCTGCACACGCAGGACCTCAGCACGGTGATCTGAGTCCGGCTGGAAGCCCAGCGTCGTGCTGCCATCTGGCCGGGACCAGCGGAGCTTTCGGCACAAGTCCAGAACCGTAACTGCTTCAGTGGAACTTGGGCGCCGTCGGACGTGAGGTCCTGTTGAGGCCCAGGGCACACTCTTATATAGCTGCGGGATCACTGTGTGCCGTGCCATGGCGCAGAGTCAGACTACTTGCGCTAAGACCTCGGCGCTATGTCTGTACCGGCGGAAACGTCAGCTCATGCTGCGACCAGGGACTGACTGGAGACTCCTGTGGTCGAGGATCTTCCAGGGTGTGTAGCTTGCTTCATCGCCTGAAAGTGACGTTCGGAATGCTGAGACGTTGACATTGCTTTGTGGACATAAATTTGAAGGGGTGTAGTCAACAAGCAGGCTAGGGTGCAGACGTATGGAGCACATGACCCTGGATGGTTAATGTGTGACTGTGATGGAGGCCCCCTTGTGGACGCCATAGATGAAGGAGAGGCATAGTTCAAGTGATGCAAGCCGTACTTGATGGGGAGCCATATACGTCCAAGGTCGTGCAAGGCCGACTTTGGACGTGCATGGTCACGCCCGCGGTTGCGACTTTTCTGGCGCACCAGCGTGACGATGCTGTTCATCCCGTCCCGGGACTGAGCAAAGCATTGACGCCGGGGTGACTGGCGGCAGTCAGCACCGAAGCGGGGCCAGCTGACCGGCTGACACGGGAGGTGTGCGTTCTCCAACAGGCGCTGACCGCGCAGGGGGGGGGGGGGGGAGGGAGGGAGGGAGCCGCCCCGACATGATCAGCGGCTCGTTCTGCTCCTGGACGCCAAGATTACACTCACGTGCTAACTGGCAAGAGGTGCTGGCAAGGTGTGGCAGACCCGCTGCGTGTGACGTCATTTGCCGTCTACGTGTGACGTCATCCGTTGTCTAAGTGTGACTTCGCGCATGGTGTCTGTGGTGGCGCTGCAGACAGCTGGCGCGCGTGCAATGGAGGGTCAATAAACGACAGGTTATTCAGTCCAGATGTGGATGCGTGTGGGTGATATGGAGGCGGGGGGGGGGGGGGGAGGGGGGAGGGGAGAGGAAGCTAAACGATGTTTCGGTAGCGCTTTGATAAATAACTTACCAAGGACACTGCCACGTTCACAAGGTTGACAAGGCAGGGAGCCACTGAGTGGGATACGCATGCTTCTTACCGGACGCTATCCCTGCCCAACAGCCACATTTTCTAAAGCTGGAGACTTTGGCACCTGTGGGGAGTTATGCACCTAGAGTGCTCCAAACTCGTATGGGGTTTCCAACTGACACGCCATCTCGAAGATCATTTAGTGCAGACCATAGCCCCGACCCTCCATGCTAAAGCCCCTTTAGTTTCTTAGCTAAAGACCGGTGAAGATGCCCTGACTATCTCGCGCCACTGCTTTTTGGTCACCAGGGCATCCACGACGCTCTGTCATTCAAATCCTATCATTCAACTGGCCGTGCGGCGATCTGGGTCAAAAGGACCGCTGTCGAGTCGCTCATATTTGGCGTTCGTGGGCACGCTTTCTAGATGTAACGGCTACCCATTGACTCAATGTCGTGCAAGGAATGATGACATCGAACGATGGCGCATTGGGGAGCGTGCTTACTAAACAGCGAAATTATGTTGCCTAGAGCGGCCTCTTCCCCTCAAAAGGATACCACCAGCTATAAGTGGGCTTACTGTATCATGTCAGATGCTTGCTCCAATATCACCAAAGTGGAACACGCTCTTTAAGGTACAAACTCACAAATTATCGCAATCCGTACCTTACAACGAATTGCATCGGTCAGAATCGTCGCATCAACTCGCACCAATCGTCACGAAGAAACCGAACGCTAGCTCTACTCCCAACCACCAAAACACAGCATCAGGTTGTTATGGCCATATGTATTCGGTTGGAGGATGAGATGACCTGCGATCAGCAGCAGCACGCGAGTGTACCACGGCTCCGCGCACACAGCAAACACAATTTTCCGACTCGACTCTCATTCAAACGCGTCTTCCGCAGCTGGTCACATGTATTCGCGCGAACGAACAGCGTGGGTACAACTTCGGCCCAGGCGCGACCCGAGCAGCGCCAGACGGGGTCGGCCCGCACGGCGCGTCGCTCGCGCACACGCACGAAATATGCAGCACAACTCGATCAAACGGATGATGTGTGTGGGCGGGCGGGTTTGAGACTGTGAGGCCGCCGACGATCAGTCCAGCTAAAACCGCGGGCGCGCGCCCCCTGCCGGCTGGCGCTCCACGCCACGGGCGCGCGCCAGGCCGCCCCTGTGTACCACCACGGGCGGCGGCGGTGCGTGTCCCGGCCAGCCGGCCGCGCTGGGTGCCGGTCGCCGCTGCCCGCCAGGCGGCGCGCCGGTCGGGAGGCCTGCCGGCAGTCACCGCTGCCTGCGGAGGGAGGACCGACACCCGTCAGCGGCGCTCGCGCGGGGACCGACGCACGTCAGCGGCGCTCGCGCGGGGACCGCCACAATTCAGGGGTTCACAGAGGTGAGTAGAGGATGGGGCCAAATGACGTCGTTGACACGACAGCGAACGTTGGAAATGGACGGTTAAGGGACACTCCACATTAAAACACACGCCTACATATACGTCAATGACGCGTGTAAAACGAACAGTTGGTGTCAATCACCAAATTTCATGAAATATGACAATTGTAGAACAGAAAGTTACTGACATAAACGTCTACTCCCCAGTGGCTTGTAAGGCAGTGACAGATACAGTGCAGCCCCCAGTTGAGCGTCACACGTTCACGGCCCGACATCCATCCAAGTCCGCTGGGGCAGATGGACTGTACGCCTCTGTGACTCTCACAATGCCTCCGCTTGCAACAAGCCGCTCACTTAGCTCGCGCCAACAGCTATCACCACACTCCGCCCATGCCCCGCCAAGACAGGGCCATCTATCTCCGCCATCGTCCGCTCCGCTCGTCCGCTGTGGACGGAACAGATGGAGCAGCTTGCACCCCTCTCGCGCACAACACGCACCTGTTCCGCTACTTGGCCGAGTTGACGTACGCTTCCAGTTCGGCATCCAGCTCTTCGGCCGTTGCCGGCTTCTTTTTCTCGCGCTGCTGGCGGCCGCCGCGCCCGCCGCCGCCGCCACCGCGGGTGCCGCCACGGCCGCGGCCGCGACCCCGCGGCGCCGTGCCCAGCCGGCCACCGACTCCTCCTCCGCCGCCGCCGCCGCCGCCGCCGCCGCCGCCGATCTGGTCCGTGGCCAACTCCAGCTTCATGGGGCGACCTGTGGAGGCGAACAAGGGGTCAGAGGGGACCGGCCGGGTCAAGGGCGAAGGACGACCTGGGGGAAAGGCAGGGTCGGCGATAGTCAGGTCAGGTCGGGGGGTGCGCGGCGACTGTGTGCAGGAGGGCCACATCAGGTCGGCACGGTGACGGCGGGCCAGGAGTGAACCGTCTGGTGAGCTAAGACGGTGAAATGCCAGAGAGGGAGGGGTTGAAGTCGGGACATGGGGGGGGGGGGGGGGGGGGGACGCGCAAGGCATGAGCCAGGGGCGAACGAGACAGGACGAGCGAGCGGTGTAACTAACTGAATGAAATTCTCACCGACAAAATCCTTCTAATGCAGTTCAGAGTAGTAACAGTAACCACATGTTTCTAAATCACGTAAACCCTGTTCGGGTCTTTAGAGCGTCCCAACGCCCTGGTTCCCACACACCCCGCCCCGCGTCCCGACCGGCGCCCCATGGGCCCGGCCGGCGCGGCGTCACGCACCGTCGAGTGGCACGCCTCCGTACTGCTTCATGGCACGCACAGCGTCGCTGCGCCGCTCGAAGATGACCTGCGCCGTGCCCATGGAGCGGCCCGACCGGTCGTAGTGTACGGCCGCCGAGCGCATCGGACCGAACTCGCCGAACAGCTCCTGGCGGTCGACGGGGACACGGAGGTTAGCGTCGGGTCACGGAGGTCAACACCGAGTCACGGAGGTCAGCATTGGGTAACGGAGGTCAGCATTGGGTCACAGAAGTCAACACCGGCTCACGGAGGTCAACATCGGGTCACGGATGTCAACATCGGATCAGAGGTCAACAAGAGTCGTCAAGGTCAGCACCGGGTCACGAAGGTCAGCGTCGGTTCACTAAGGTCAACACCGGGTCACGGAGGTCAGCACATAGTCACGGAGGGTCAGCATCGGATCACGGAGGTCAGCACCGGGTCACGAAGGTCAAAACCAGGTCACGGAGGTCCGCACCGGGTCAGGGTGAGCGCGGCGCGGAGAGGATCGGCCGCACGAGTCCACATCACTCGAGAGCACAAACCACAGGGACTTAATAGGCCAGTTCAGCCCGGGTGGCGCGGGTCTGCACAATATCGCGCAAAGGAGTGGGAAACACGTACAGGTCGATGCCTGCCCAGTAACGATGATTGCAATTTTGGGTTTGTTGCAACATGCCATTCAAAATAAGTGTAGCGAGTGATAAGGTCTGTCAGTGTTGGCAAGTCTGAATGGGGTTTCCTTAAAAGCCCCCGTGACAAACTCGCAGGCTATTTAGGTGAATAAACAAGCAGATGGCGCAGTTCCACGAATGCAAACAAGCAGCAAACCAAATTTAAAATGGTTTGTAAGGATTGACCTTACACTGCACCTGTCTGAAGAAAGCATGTGCTTCATACAGAACGTACACGGCTTATCCGCTGCCTCAAAACATTGGTCCACCTTCCTCGTCTCCTTCAGCAAACATTCTCCAACAGCATCTGGGTCACCTTGCCCACCTCAAGTGACACAGCCAAGGGGACACATAAGATGTCACATATATACATGTCACATGAAGCGGCGAGTCGGCAGACGACCAGCAAGGGAAACACTGTGCATAAAACACTGCCGCCACTGCGCCGGACCTCCGACGCCGGCAGGCCGGGAGCCCAGTGCGGCGAGCGCCGCCAGCGGCCGGCGTTCGGGGTCTCCTACCTTGACGTCGGCGTCGGTGACGCCGAAGTCGAGGTTGGAGATCATCAGCTTGGTGGTGTCCTGGCCGCTGCGCCGGCGCACGTCGCCGCCGCCACCGCGCGCGCCGCCGCCGCCGCCGCCGCCGCCATCGTACATGTCATGTGACCACCGGTCGTCGACGTTACCCTGGCGACGAGGTAAACGGGTGAGGCGGCCTTCGACAGTCAGCCAATCACCGGTCACCCTCTACAGCCAGGTGGATATTAAAACGGGCTGAGGTCGAGAATGACACTGTCTGAGACGTTTTAAGGCATTTATGGCCACAGCTCCAGTGAACAGGGGTCATGGCTGCATGGATTGTGGATAAAGACTGTGTTTCATTTTAGTTAAGCAAGTACTTCACAGGAGTCACCGACACTAGACGACGGTCGGAGAGAGGACTGGTTGAAACATAGTGCTTGTAAGTCAGATGATGATGACTGGGGCTTAAGAGAGCAGCAATGGCCAAGATCATTTTACTAAGGCTCCAGATTTTAATGATAGAATAAGAAATTATCACATCCCCAGGATATTTAGTCATTTCAGTGCAATGGCTTTTGTAGGCTAACTACACACCACTGTCACTTGTCCATTTCCAGGAGATGTGAGACATGAAAAGAACCCACCAAGGAATCCTACAAAGAACCCACCAAGGAATCCCAAAGGCAGAGTTTTGAATACCCTGCAAAGTACAGGGGAAGTCATAAAATTGTCATGGAGGATGCCAAAAGCACAGCACTGTCATATTCACAACTGGAAGTTTCCTTGCACATAATGTACAGAAAACCATGGTAAAAGGTACACTACAACACATGGATATTCCCAAAGAGTAATATTTGTTACCTTTTCATTCTGTTTGGATCATCATGATTTCCATTTGGCAAAATCTAATCTGACCCAAAAGAATTATTTGCAAGACATGAATATGGTGATATGAATCACAAGCATAGCCACTGGCATAAAAACAGATTGCAGTGACATCAACTGAAGCACCACCTTATCAAACTTTAAGTTACTGACCATCACCACAATGGTATCTGGGTTTAACAGCTGAAGTAGAACATAAGCACTTTTTTGAAATGAGGAATTTATCTGTGCTATCTACTACACAAACCAGGTAGCGGCACATTGTTGTTCAGTGTAGCAAAAGGTGCATTTATAATGATCATTGGGGCTTTCTGCCTCACTGACTGCCAGAGCCCTTTCAAGATTGATGCATTTATGGGATGCATTACAGTATATTACAGTACTCCTTTACAAGCAGTATATTGGAACTGTGGTGACCTCAATGCATTTAAAATCATTATCTGGAGGACATCTTTATTGCACAGCAGCTCTTAAACCTTCACAAAACCAGATAATAAACACTGCAAAATTACCATATCAAGAAGGGCATAATTTTGAGATGAAGGAGAAAGAATCTAGTGTGGAGGACACTCCACCCTTGGAAGATTCCAGCTCTGGAATCAGATCTTTGAAGGTTTGGTGGGGCTTCTCAAGGCCTACTTCATGACTTAGGGAGAAAGACCATTTCATGACAAGGACACTGCTGTTACAAGGAAAGCATGCCAAATCTCAATAGCTTCAGGCTGATGTGCAATGCACCATTTTGCAACTGCATATTGTGACCCAGAATCTTGCAACATTTCACAAGGTTGCAAAACGATAGTGGACACAATTACAAGAATAATCTCCAGTGTGGTAAGTGGGGTCAGATCCCCAGAAACTCTTGTGAAGTTTATATTAGTTTTATGTTTGACTGCGTACAAATATCATCAACATAACACTCCAGCTCAGCTGCCTTCAACACATGCTCAGGTGGGGTGGCGGGTCAAACTGGCCCCTGAAGGCTTTCCAGAATGGTTTCCAAACAGGGCAGCTTAGCCACACCACATTTTGCAAAACTATAGATGATTTTCAGTTTCTCGGTCATTTCTAGGGAATGTTAAATCTGATGCAACAAAAGGCCATCAACCAAAAATGAATCCAGGCCAACTTTTTGTTTTGCCCACCATTATCTCTGTGCTTTTTCAAATAAGAACTAAAGGTGGTGGTATATACTTTTAGTCACCATGATCTTCAAAAGGTCAAACAAGGTCACTAGCCTTGAAAAAGCACTTGACCTTTTGCTTAGAACAGTTATCTAGGTTCTGAAGCACTTTGAAGACCAGCCTGGAGTTTGGCCTTCTTTGACCTTATTTGACCTTAAGGTAATGGCCTAGAGACCTCCAACTTTTACCTCAGTGAGTTCACATACAAGTCAACACACCCTGTCAATTTGTTGTCTCTAGCTCTCTTAGTTCCTGACATCTCAGGAGGGTTATATTGGCCCTCCCCTCCCCCAAATGAAGGGCATTCTACTGGCTGCCAGGGCATATGTTAACATGATTGCATCTGTGGACATAAAGCTAATGTGTCAAATAACTAATTGTAACCTAATCAATATACCTTATCATGACTGCTAATCGCCTATCCTCACAGTTGCTAGCCTTGTAAAATCACCTGGTATTTCCCAATGATCACATGGTGGTGACAATGGTCTAATCTGACAGACCAGAGGCCTGCTGGATAGCTTGCAGACAGTTGGCAAAAAATCCATCAATCGCACAGCAGTGTGGGAAAAACCTCCGTTTTCTGGTGGATGTGACACCAGGAAATTTTGTACTCCAGGCTCTTGACTGGTAAGAATGACAATTTTTGTACTCCAGACAAACACTACAGTCGCCCCACAAAGCAGACACCATTGCAAATGTATGAGCCTGAGTATAAGTACCAAGGCAGACAGTTTTGCTTTCTTGATAGCCAGGAGGGTGCATGAACTTTGCTTTCATAAAGTGAGTTATAACTTTTATCTGATTTCCAGGGACCAAACATATGGAGCACCAAGAAATGGAGACAAGCATCTGCAATCCTGCAGGAGCTGGCCAATCCAGGGCGTTCATGTCAATGTCCTTCATCATTGTATTACATGGGTTAGATGCACTTGTGCAAGCCTATGCAACTCCTGAATGGTGATGACAACTCATGTGAGTTACTTCTGTGGGAATAAAATAAACTGAACTATGAAATGTGCTTGTTTTAAGTACCTACCGCTGCCACATACCTTGCATGCCATTACCTGTGGGGAAAATATATGGCGCACCTGAGTAAGTAAGAAGACCGCATTCTCCACGACGCACACACCCACCGATAACTTTCAAGAAACGGACAAACATATCACGGCTCTGGCTCCCACCACGCGACGAACCCATCGCCTCCCGTACCCGAAACCAGCGGCAGCCTAGCCTCCTGCAACTGACGAGTGCATTTTCGAGCAGTGAAGGTCCGCGTCGCAACAGACACCTACAACGATATTCGTTCGACCAGAAACCACTAGCAGCACCAAAATCACCGCTGGCACATCTTTTTCAACTAGGTCATTCAAAGACTCGCCGAGCAAGAAGTCCAGCATGCCAACTATGCTCTTAACTTACCTCATATTAAGATAACATGTTAGCGATTTTACCAAAGGACGTGCATCTTGCAAACAGTTTGGTGGGAAAATTCCAAAGATTGCAGCATTGCACATCCTTTTCAAAGCGCTTGTTTCATTCCTGCTCCTGCCATACCAGCCACCAATCACCATCCAACTTGCAATTAAACTCAAAATCATAGCATTCAAACACACCACATATCGGCACTTTTGAGATAGAATCATGACATTAAATGGCACCCAAATATCACGTTTGTGGGCGGCACTTTTGGTGGTAACGGCTTCTTTTGGGTTCTTAAATGTCATCGGGAATTACATTCCCAAAATGGGAGTTTGTGGCATGCAGCATTCCAAAACTTATTACTATTGTATAAATGATAGTAAGTCAACCACTTTTTCAGAAATCGGTAGGTACCGGTCTTTGAAGATTCGAGGATATCTTACTTATTTAACAAGGGTATCATGTCTCCAGGCTCAACCAGTACCTATACTTGTAAGATAGAGATGGTCCATAACCCGGTGGGAAAAAATCGCAGTACTTGGTTGCCCTTCTCACAATGGGGCCTATAGGGAGACCCGGGGAGAACAAGCCGGAGTACAACCCGGAGAACAGCAAGTTTTTAGCAAAGTTAGCCAAATTTAATTAAAAAATTGACGTGTTTTGGTATCGTCCAGATACGGGCCTTCCTCAGAGGGTGTTGAAATGGCATGATATGCCTTAGAACGAGAAATATCTATAGATTTGTAGTACAGGTCCTGCATTATCTCGGCGTTGCCTTGCGCCACCAGAAGATAATATATATTTGTAGGTGGAAAATAGCAACTTTAAACGCATGACTGAAAAGCTCTATGATTTTTCTACCGCAAACTTAACAATTTATGTTGCTGCAACTGCATAAATGTTTTTTCTTAGACTTTTCATCACAGCCTGTCATTTCAGGACCGACCCGTGGTACTTGTACTTGGTTGCCCATTGACGAGTGCTAGAATGCCATCACAATGTCTGTGAATGCGCCAGAACTCCCGTGCATGGTTTGGTTGTTTGTCTTCATGTGGTGGGAGTGAGGAGGGCGGAAGGTGAGTGAAGATGCTTGGGATTATGTGCATCGTAGCTGCGAGTTTGAGGTATTCGGTGAGACAAAGTGGAATTGGTTGTCTTCAATTTTCACACAGCATGTATCCACACTTCTAAAATTACTTGGGATTTAGTTTTGGACCGTTATTAAGTCATTCCAAAAAGGTAAATAAATACCGGGGGACTGATCTATAAATGTTTACCACTGCAGGCTGGTGCGGAATCACCTTGGTATAACCTGCTCTACCTACAGCATGGTGGGTAGGTACGTAGGTACTAAGGTATCTATATACAACATAAATGCTAGGCTTGGGTTTCCCATGTGGGGTCAAATATGAGGCTGGCCTCTTTTCAGCTTGTGGTTATAATTGCTGAAACCTGACAGGAGGCAATGCTGCCATGTTCCTTGCTGTCAGGCATAAGGTCTTGCAGTGACAGTATTAAAATTGTCCCTACATAAGATCATAGGGAACTTGGAGAAGAGGAGAGGGATAACAGGAGGTGCAGAAGAGAGGAGGAGCAGAAGTGGAGGAGGAGTGGAAGGAGAAAAGTGACAGAAAGAGAAGGTGAGGAACTGAAAGAGGAGAAGAGCACAAAGAGAAGGATAGGAAGAGGAACACTTTTGGTATGTTTATATTAATCATGTAAAGGCCAAAAGGACAACATGTTAGTGATGTCACATACATTAGGCTTTCATAGACAGTTGCATCTGCCTAAGACTCATTGAAAAACCAGAGTGTGATGCACAGTGGTTGTCCGCAACTTAGTTTGTCAGTAAGCAGAGGATGCACCTGATTTATCATTTCAATATTGTGTAAGTTTGCATGTAGATAGGTAATGATAAGTAACTGAGCTTTGTATGATGCACCTGTGAATGCATATGTATAAAGTTTTGTTGTTAACCTCTCAACTGTATATTTCTTATTAACATGTACCATTAATCGATCTTTGCATGTATAGGTGAGCTAGTAGCACTACAGAGATATGGATGGGATCAGTGTGGCACCCTCACTCACAAGAAGTGCTCTGTTCCACGGAAATGCAAAATTGCATGCTGACACTAATTTTTGCCAGAAAAACATTGGGAAAATGTTGAACCATTAAAGGCAGTATGTGATGTACTCTAAGCAAGGCCCATTGTGCAGACACTCATTCCACATTAGACAGACCTTTGCTTGCAGGCAAGTTTGTACTCCGACCACAAAAATTTTTGTACTCCGCCACCAGCAAAAAAAACTAAATTTCCCACCCTGTTGCACAGAGGCCCACATGAATTTGGTGTGCTACACCCAGAGTGTGTACAATTTGTCCTATCCGATAGATGACTGAGTGACACCAGTGCTTTGATCCTAGTGCACACACCTGCTGAACTTGGGCAAGGCCAAGCTATGATGATTTTACACATATTCTTAGATTGAAAGCCATAAGGGCATTTTAGTAAGAAATTACCATTCACACATTGGCTATGCATTGAATGAGGTAGCACCCTCAGATGCACACATGTGCAAACATCACCCAAGGCCAAACTGGGTGTAGGTGTACTTTCCTACCTAACGTTAGAAAAAATCATTGCACACCATTCATGGTGTTTAAGGCGGCACATATCATAAATAATCTCAAAACGGGTAGAACCATGCTCCTACCTTCAAATTTAATAACTTTGATGGCGGGTTCCCGAGCGCCGTGCGCGCTGCACCGCCTGGACTCCCTAGCACCGTTTCTGCGTTGCTGTTGCATAAATACAATATTTCTGCCCCCGTACATTTTTATGGTTCTTGATGCTGCTTGATGCGCAGTAGTGTTGTGACCCGCGCAGTAATGGCGCTGGTTCGCGGGTGCTGTGTGTGTGCGGCGCTCGGGAGCTCGCCATCATAATTATAAAAAATTGAAGGTCAGATCATGAATCTACCTGTTTTGTGATTATTTACGATATGTCCTGCCTTAAACACCACGAATGGTTTACCTTGGTCCCATTGTATTTACGCAACGGCAACGCAGAAACGGCGCTGGGGAGTCCAGGCAGTGCGGTGTGCGCGGCGCTCGGGAGCCCGCCCTCGAAGTTATGGTGTACAATGATTGTCTCTAACGTTAGGTAGGAAAGTACACCCTGACCCCAAACTGAGCAACTTTCCAAACATTTTTATTGAAAAATATCCCAGGTATTCTTGCTTGGATTTGCCCACATAGACAATGATTGTTTGAAATACTGACTGTCAGTGCCATGAAATTGGCACCAGCAACGGCTCCCAGCACCGACCTCAGAGCATGATACAAATTGTTGTATACAGATGCTGGAATGGTTGCTACAATGTTACTGCTAATTAAACATGCTGTGGAGTACAGTTACTTGCTACCTGAACTTGAGACTACCTGGCTGATAAAGGCGTCATTGGCTGAGGTGGCTCTGCGAGGAGAGTTCCCAGCTTTCATCTGTAGACCAGGCTGAAAACTGTAGACCCTCATCCGCTTTTGTCGGGCTCACGGTCAATTCCTGATGCTCCAATGCAAATATATGAGCAAAGGAGTGCTACGAAGATCACTTACGCGCTTGTAGGCTGCAGCAGGCCTGCTTGAAACTGCATTGCGGCTGCCGCGCTCTTGACCACCTCCTCTCTGCCTTTGCTGGCCTCGCCCCGCACCTCTTGAAGCCCCGCGGCCTCTTCCTCCTCCTCCTCTCTTGCTAATGCGATCTTTTTTAATTATTTCATCTAAACTGAGGTCCATGATGACAATGATTTGAGGCCGCCTGCACTTATAAAAACGCTAATCACGATAAGGACACCGCGGCACGACCGGATGCTCAATGGCGGCGTCTCAAAGAATTTCGCGTGCTATTTGGCGCATTGAACGGTGCAGTATTTGGCGCACATTGACGTCAAACGATTTGGCGTCCCATTTCATTGGCGTCAAACAAAAGAAATATTGTACGGCCAACCGATTTCGATACTTTCATTTCTAGGTATTCTCCGATGCTATACGTTTCTTCATAAAAGCGAGGTGAGCTTAGACTTAATACTATTCTACTGACGTAATTATGAACGAATTACACCGGTCCAAATTATGCGTCCGATTACGCCGCCGGTACCATGGTAATGAAAGCAATTCCCTGTTCGAGGCTTGCTGAAACGAGCAGAAACAAGCTTTCTTTGGGCGCATTCGGCCGGCAAATAACCTCGTAAAATTATCCGGAATGTCGTAGAATTTTCCGGAATAGCATTCGGCACTGCTGACACGGAAACGTAAACCAGATAATGTTCCGTAGCGAGGGAGAATACAGGAGAGTTTTCAGAGTATGGTCAAAACGGAGAATCTTTTTTCGTTACGCAAAGCTACGGCGGTTGGCTGTGGATGGCGCATGGAGACCAGCCTGGGGGAAAATTTTCGGACCGGCCAGATGTAAATGGTGAATCTCCGCGGATGATTATCGGAGAGATGATTATTCGCTTAATATTTTTTACTCCGTCGAACGCGCCCTTTATCGAACTCAAGACTATTTCTCATTCTCGGTTATCAAGCCGCTGCATTGATCTATATGTTTTCACCACCAATCAGTGAAAAGGCCAAAGTGTTAAGAGCATTAGAATACACACGATATCTATGCCGATCAGTGCAAAGTAGGAAAGACTACCATCATGCCCTGCCCGCGCGCGAAACACGCGAACATCCGCGCCCGGTCCGCTGCGTGAGCGCGGCACGTGGGCGGCATTGCGTTGGTAAGCGTGGCAAAGGTGGTGGATTGACAAGTTGCATGCGGGGTGTTTTAAGGCGTCATAGGTGCCGACTTGTATTCTTTTGTGAGGGCCCTGGCCCCCTCGACGTTGAGTTGCCCCCCCCCTCAGTTTTGGGCTGGCCCCCAGTGATTTGGCTGGAATGCTACAAAAAAACGGGTAAAAGATGATAACTAAAATACTGTCTTCTTTTATCTTTCTGCGTAGTGGTGTTATGAACCACTCTTACAACAAGAAGTCGTGGATGGTCTCACCACAAGATACAAATCGCAACAGCTGAGCGGATAAACGATGCAACAAACTCCACATACCTAGCGCGCAAGACACGCAACGGTTGGAGGTTCAAGTGAAAAGCTCTTGAATATGGTTATGCCTTACGTTCTTCGTGGCCAGCCCCGTCCCCGCCCCGCACATCCAAAATACGTGTTGCCTGGCATGATCACCATAGAAGAGTGCCGCCGGCGCCCTAAAGTGGCCTCTTTAGGGACGCATTGTTATAGGGCATTGGGGCGCCTTCACGTCCCGATCAGATGAGACGCGTGCGTCCAGTGTCTGCTGCTTGGATCCAACCCTGCTTAACTACTATACCGCAGAAATTTAAAAAATGCAAATTATGCGAAGATAACTCGGCGGTAAAAAATGGGTGGGGTGGGAGGGGGGGCTAGGTAATCAGACCTTTGGTTGAACCCCATCCTCCCAATAATTTCCAAAAGTTGACGCCTCTGCCAGGTGTCTCACTATTTTGTGGGGCGGGAGGACGGGGTTCAGTGGATGGGTGAGTGGTATCGCGATGCCTCGGGGGAGGACGTTTCTCGGAGGACGTTTCTCGCAACACTGGGTCATGTCGAATTTGCTCATATCCGTCCCTACCGATGGTTCATGGCCAGGGCGGAACGCCTCGGTCAGTGAAGAAGCAGCAATTGTTGGTTTGATGCCACTAGGGATGGATCTCCAGGTTTGCTGTTCAACTATTTTGTCAGGCTGGATGGTGGGGAGGGTTCCAAGCTTTATGTCAACCAGATTGTGTGGAGGATATGATTGGCAGGAGCATAGTTTGGCAGAAAACATGAGAGCTCAGTTGAGAAGAATGGCTAAACTTGCCCCAATCCATACTAAAGTATGGTTTCCAGATATACCCTGGCATGTATAATATAAAGTGGTGGTCTGCCCCCATTCATCAATCTAAGAAAAATCAATTGACCACATTAAATGTCCATGTGGTATCAGTGTGCTGAACTACACAGGTCAGGCAGCAAAGGGAAGTTCATAAAATATTTGTTCTTGGCACCCCCTTTTCTGATACATTTGTTCATCTGTGCACACATTTAGAAAGCAATGCACATGTTGAGGTGTGCCCAGGCAGACCCTAAATTGTAACATTTCCTGCTAGGTTTGGTTACCACCTATGGTACAGGAAGTATCCAAAGTGAAAAAGGATGTGTTATCAGTGATTGGCTGTTTGTGTGTAACCCAGTGTTAAAACCTTGCTGAATTTTGAATAAAAATCTTGGCTATGTTAATAAGACCTAATCCTGCATTACTTTGAGTGTGTTACAGTCGTGGGTTATGGGCTCTTACATAGTATAAATATACCAAAAGGCCTAAGCAGTTCACATGTCCCGTAAGTTAAAGCACCTTAAGTATCAACACTGCAGTGGCTGACTGAATATAACATCAGTTAGAGATCAGCCATGTCAAAACCATATTTGATCATGTGTTCACCAACACAGATAACATTGATTCACCTAAATGCTATTGGCATGTATGCACAAAAGTTGCATTATTTCTGAGCATATCAGGAAGCCACAGCATTTTTTAGAACAGTGGTTCTGTGTGACGTTGATTGAAGACAGCTGGCAAGGAACCCATAACATCACCCATCATATATTTTCAGGGTATTGCCAGATCTAAGCCCAGCATGGAGGATGAACCGCTGCCCCCTGAGGGGGATGATGACGAGCTGGACACAGTGAACCCGGCGCCACCACTGGAGGCGGGTGACGCCAGCTCGGTGCTGCACAGTGACGCAATCGGTGACACCATGTATTCTGAGCGTGGTGTGCTGCGGACGCTGATGGCGCTGAATGCTGCTGTGCCGCGGTATATCGGCCTGGGGCAGGTGGCGGAGGGCGACGCGCCGGCGGCGGGTGGTGACCCCCCGGCCGCGGGAGGCGGTAGCGCCGACCCTGGTGAGGTGGGGCTGCTGCAGCACCAGAACAGTGCATGTGATGAGTCGGAGCCGCCGCTGATGGAGTTGGACACTGAGCTGGAGCAGCAGCTGTGCCAGCTGTGGGACATGTCGGCCGAGCGCGACGTGGCCGTCTTCCTGGGCAACTGCGGCCTGGTGGAGGTGGCGCTGCCGCTGCTGGGGCGCTCGCCGTGCCCGCGCCTGCTCGAAATCCTGGCTGGCACGTTCGCCAACTGCGCCGCGCACGGCCCGACCGCGCTGCCGGGCGGCCCCGAACTGCTGGTGGAGCTGACTGCCACCCTGCTGGCCAACAGCCGCGGCGACGCGCCCGTACTGCGCGAGACGCTGCGCCTGCTGCAGACGGCCGTCTGCAGCCAGCCGGAGCCGGCGTCGCTGCTGGCGGCGCTGGTCGGCTGGCTGCCGCTGCTGGCTGACGTGCTGCGCGGCTCGCTGTCGGCACTGCTGCTGCGCCAGACGCTTGGGCTGCTGGCGGTGGCGGCGGCGCTGCCCGGCCGCCGCCGCTGGTGGCTGGAGCAGCTGGCCACCGCGCCGCCACCGCCGCTGCCGGCGGCCCTGCTGGAGGGCCTGGCGCAGCTGTACGCCGTGCGCGGAGAGCTGCCTGAGGAGGAGCTGCTCCAGACGTGTCGCGATACGCTGCGCCTGGTGGCCGAGCTGCGCGCCGAGCTGCCGGACACAGAGTCAGGTCAGTCGCGGTCAGGCCAGTGTCAGGTCAGTCGCGGTCAGGCTAGAGCCAGGTCAGTTGCGGTCAGGCCAGTGTCAGGTCAGTCGCGGTCAGGCCAGAGTCAGGTCAGTCGCGGTCAGTCTGGAGCCAGGTCAGTCGCCGGACGAAACCGTCCTGGTCTAGGCGGTCGGATGCGGTAGAAACACCATTAAATGTTGCTTGGGAAAGTCAGTTCAATTCAGCTTTCAGTTAAGTTTCTATGTGTTTCGATTTGTCGTGATGCACACATTTCGCTTGATATGATGGACGGTTTAAAAAGTACAGAAAGCATTTGGCTTGCTCTTAATGATCAGTTCAAAGTTCTTTTGCTGAGTAAACGGCCTTCAATATACCAGGGGTTACTGGTTAGACAATATTGTAGTGCTAAGCAATGCGAATGTTAAGCCTCAAGAGAATGAGCACAGCTCGAAATGTTAAATGCCGCGAACACAATCCGTTTTTAGCTCTATAACATTGTTTAGTCTGTACTGCCCGGTATGTTGAAGATCGTTAACCGAATAACTCTGCGTTCTTGATAGGATTCATGTATTTCATAGCGTTGAGTTTATTTTGATACATATGCACAGATTTCAGATACAGATCACGGGTCATTTTATTTTGTTTGTTTCATGTCTTGCGTTTTGTCATTTGTTTCGTTTTCACGTAAATTTATTCAAAAGCTATTTGATACTATGATCATTATAAGCAACTCCCAAATTCCCTTACCAGCCATGAAACTGTGTTGGTGTGTCCCCGCCGCAATATCTTCGAAGCTGTTGCACCAGGTAGTGCAGTCGTACCGGAAATGCTTATCGTGATCACTGTGGTTCGGTGAAGCGCTCTTGCCTGACTGGTCGTGTCGTCCAGCATTAAAGGTGAGCCACTCTGTGCCTCGCGCTGCGTGCCGGAATATCTGGTTTGAGTGTGGCATCCTCCACCTGGAGCGCCTGGGCATGAACTTGATCCAAGCACAGACACCGGCATTTGTAATAAAGCGCGTTATCGCAGATGTTCGGAAACGCGATAGAATTGCAATGGATTGTGGTTATGTAACTTGAGCGTTTAGATTGCATTTGGTTGCACCAATGTCCACTGCGCCGTGTAAGTATTAATAATGTCTTCGGTGCGCGGATATTTCCGAACCCGATGTTGTGACGCACTAAGGAAGGACTCGGGGATTATGGATTGGGACAGCTGTGACATCCGGAAAAGATCAGCCTCCTCATTATTCTATCACACTCCGTACCGAAAGGAAGTAAGGTAGGGACTTTGTGGCGTCGCGAGCACACGTTGGGTGGATGCGGGATTTTTCCCTGTTTCAGCTCCATATGCCTCGCTCCACGGTCTTCCAAATGGTTAGAATACGAAACTTAGTGTCTCTTGACCACACGTGCCAAGGCGAAGGCCTTTCGTCTTCGTCCACGCCATCAACGTCCACGCGTTTCGTTCTGTGATGTCTTCGGAAGAGCTGGAAGCGTCTGGCTTTGCTTGCATGTATTTGCTTTCGAATTTTGCCGTGTTCATTTGCAGTGGTGTCGGCTGCACCACCCACGTCCGAGGTCGCGCGTTCGTGCTGTCACCGACCATTTCAACGCCATTTTCGTAAACGTCCGCAGAGAGGTTGCCAGAAGGTCTCCCCTCATCATACCTCCATTCTGACGAGGATCCGCATCGGTCTGGCAGCCGGGTTCCGAAGTCCAGGATATCAGCAACCCGAAAATACCCCCCATAACTTTGTCCCTTTCCATCAGAATGCGCCAGTGCCGTCCCCGTCCCCAATGCGCCAATTTGGGTCCCCGTCAGTGTTTGTGGCAGCTGGTTGCACTTTTCAGGTGTACACTTGGTGTGCACTTTTCCGCGCTGAAAGGGAGTCGCGTGCGGCGTCTGCGTTCGTCGCCTGTGTGTCGGCAGGCGCTTGCGAGACACGCACAGCTGGCCGCATCAGCGATGTCAGACTGTTCTCTAGAACATGCTCAAACCGCACGTCGGGCTGGAGCAGCTGCGATGTCTGCCCCGCAGCCGCCTTGGTGCACTGACCGGTGTCGCCCGCGGCATGGATGGATGGGGTGGTGATCGCGTTCAGACGCATCGCTCCTTTCCGATGTCCATTGGCGTCATCACGTTGGTGGAAATGCCACCGAGACCAGTCCTCTTGCATTTGGGACACGGTTTTGTCGTGGGATTATCATCGTCGGATCGGGTTGAATTCGGTTAGGTTGTATCGGGTCGTGGTTGGAGTGGCTGGATCACAACGTCATCACCGGAACATCATCTTTCACGTGATGCGAAAGATGCTGTGTTTTCTGTGAGTCGACGAGGTGGTTTTCTGTGTCTTTGTTTTGTCTGGTTGGCAGCGCCTACCGCCAGGGGAACCATGGCTTCCGGAGACTTCGCCTCGCCACACTCGTATCCAACCAGGCCACATTCGAGCAACGCTACACCTCTTCAGTGTTTGGGATATGCCCTTGATGCTTGTGTTCAGTACGGGGTCTGCCATAGAGCCTCAAAAGTCAGTCTTCGGTGGGATTTTCCAAGGATTTTTACGTGTGTGCGTGTTGCGTGGGCTTTGCTTACTTTGCTTTGAAAATGCGTTCGTTCTCGTTCGTCGCGAATTAGGTCAATCGGACGCTTAATCTGAAGCGACATTTCCTGTTGCGAAATGAAAACACATTTGCATTGTCACAGAAGGTCGTATCCATGACGAATCCATTCTGAGCACATTCTTGCAGTTGCAGCCGCTCACTAACACACAGCTGAACAGTGACCGGTATATCGACCTCGGCTCGTGCTCGCACCGCTGCCACTATCCCAGCCTTCACTACGGCCTCGGCGGCATAGTGACCGAGCTCGTGCCCGCATCGTTGCTACTGTCCCAACCTTCACTACTGCCTCGGCCGCATAGTGAACACCTACTGGACCAAGGGCAGGCCGGTCGCCGCCGCCGCATTCCAGCGAAGCACATGCACGTACCGTGACCGCGCACAAATATTCGGCGCGAGACGACACCAGGACGACGCTGGGAACGTCAACTAGTAGATGCTGGGACGGCAGCAACGAACACAATGTAACGACCATTATTGTTGGAGCCGGGAGGGGGAGGCCACGCCCCCCCCCCCCCCTCCCGCTCCCCAGGTGTTGGGGATATTTTTCAACAACCGTATGGCGAGGCGTGGAAAAAACAACTTCACAACTGGCATCCCCCTAACAATTTCTGAGACGCTCCGACGCTTGCTCTGCCCCGATATCTCCCTCTCGCCAGGAACAGCGGCGCAGCTTATCCTCAGTCGACCCCGGGGATGGCCGGAGCAGCTCCCCAGTCGGTACAGGCACCGGGGCTGGTGTTGTCGATTTAGAACCCCGGTGTGTCTGTGTGGGCGGGCCACCCCGCCGCTGGCGCTGGTACGTCCCGCTACCCCTCGGTCAGTACCCGACACCGGGCTGCTACGTCACGCTACCTCTCGGTCAGTACCCGCCGCCGGGGCTTGGACGTCCCGCTACCCCTCGGTCAGTGCCCGCCACGGGGGCTGCTACGTCACGCTACCCCTCGGTCAGTACCCGCCGCCGGCGCTGCTACGTCCGCTAGCCCTCGGTCAGTACCCGCCGCCGGCGCTGCTACGTCCCGCTAGCCCTCGGTCGGGCGGCGGTCTAACGAGCGGCGTCGCTGTTCTCTGGCAGACTCGTGGCTGGGCCCGGCTAACGGCCTGCTTCGCGCCGTGACCGGCGCATGGCACGCGGGCGACGCGCCGGCCGACGCCGAGGTCGCCTCCTACCTGCTCTGGCTGGCGGCGCGCAGTCTGCGGCGCGAGTTCGCCGGCGGCGCGCTGGCTCGCCTGTTGCGCTACTGCGACGAGGCGCTGCGCGCCGCGCCCGCGCCGTCCGACGCCACGACAGAGCCGCGCCCGCTGCCGCCGGCTGAGGGGGACGTCGAGATGGGCGACGCGCCGGACGCGGCCGCGCGCGCCGAGCTGCAGGCGCGGCTGGGCGCGACGGTGGCGCACCTGGCTCGCCACTGCGACGGCGTGGCGCACTTCCTGGCGTCAGCCGAGCGGCCGGCGGCGGAGCTGTTCTGGGCGGCGCTGGAGAGCGAGGAGCCGGCGCTGGCCCGGCAGCTCCGTCTCCGGACCGGCGAAGACGACGGCACGCATCGTCTGTGAGCGCGGCGCCGGCGGCGGGGGGCAGCTAACAGACACTCCGTGACGCCAGCGATGCCGTATCCCCAAGGCAATGTTTGACTGAGATTAGGGTCCGCTGGCCGTCGGTGCTAGCTGCGGGCGTAAGGTGTTACATAGCAGGTGCGTGCACGAAATGGCCTGTTGAGGTCCAACCGCCTGCCGTCTCTGCCGACGCGCCAGGAACGTGTGCTTCCTTCTGTGTTCTCCGCGACACACCTTGCTTGAACGTCTTCACCTGCCGTGTGGCTAGGCGTCGGTTCAAGACATTCGCCGGCCGCCAGAGGAACGCAGATGACGCCCGTGGCATTTGCCGTGCTCGTCGAGTGGCATGGGGCGAGCCGTGAGATGCGGTGGTCGGCCGAGGCGGGGGTGTGGTGCCGGGTCTTTGAGGACTGCTGCTGTACCGCCCAGCGGGCTTGCGGTTTCAGAGGCTTGGTTGGATCGGCAGGCGAGTGACGTTTCCGTGGTGACGCTTGTGCCGCGCCGACGCTTTGGTGGTGACGTGGAGTTCGTTGGAGAGGAGAGATCTTGCAGACCACTGTCGCTCTGATGGCGTGATAACTGCAGTTACGATTGGGGATGTCTCGTGCTTTGCGTACAGGTTGTGCATTTTCGCAAGTGATGTTCTCGTCTTCCGTCGGTGCCTGTCCTGTAGATAATCTGCAGAATGCAGCCACCTGCGACAGAATGGAAAGGCCAAGCGAAATGTTCCTCTCACGTGGCATGCCTCCCGATGGGGAGTGGAGTGATACTGGCCAGACTCTGTACCTTTGGTCACACTGCGGGTTCTTGTCTTTGCCACTTGTGATTTCCTGCTTTCCTCACTCACTTCTGGCACGTTTTCGTAGGTTGCTCCATTGCGCTTCCAGCCAGGCATCTTTGGTGTTTTAGTCATGACTAGCAATGCCTCACAATGTCTCCATCACATGTGCAGTCCCCGTCATCGTGTTGGGAGGCGGCCTTTAACCTCGACGCTGTCATATGGGTACCAAACTGGCTCGCACGTCTGTAGACCACGTGGTGATCACATAGACGCCACATGGCTCGCGTATTTGCGAACCACGTGGTGTGGACGCGGTGGCCATATGAAGCCGCTCATCCGTTAACCCCCCTCCCGTTAACCTTCTCACTTGTCTTCTGTTCCTGATTCAGCTCAGCCACTGACTCATGAACCCCGCGCACCATGCCTGCTGGGATCATGACGTCTTCGTCTACCACATTCAGAATCATGACTGAAGTCTCTTGGTGCTTCGGGTGATCAGCAGGTGCGATCTTCACTCCGGGAACCTCAGCTGGCTCGAACAGCTGTGTCTGTAGGTTTCCTAGTCTGCTGACCCGGATGAAGGTCTGAGACCGTGCAGCGTAAACAACAGGACATCCGGTGGAAACCTCGTGGGACTGGCAGGTCTCCTCAGGCTCACCTCCGACCAGCAGTTCGCCAGTGCCGCATTTGATGACCACGTCCATCTTGTTCAGAAGATCCAGCCCGATGCGCAGGGGGCCAGTGAGTCCTGAAGACACGCACAGCTGGTGAGCAGCCCTGGTCTGGCCCACTTCCAATACCGCCTCCACCTGGCCATTCAGATGTATGCCAGATCCGTTGGCAGCCAGACATTTCACCTCTTTCGTCTCAGCTGCTGTCAACCCAAGCTCCTCTACCATGGCCATATTGAGCAAGCTTATGGTACTCCCTGTGTCCAGAACACCTGTTTATTACCCATTCAGCAGCACAACAGCCTTCATTTCAGTACTTGGAGCTGTGCCAAACCAACGGACCTCATGTTGGGGCACACATGGGCACGTCGATTTGACATGGCCCACTCTTCCACACTGAAAACATTTTGTCGTCTACCTGCCCGTGACTGCGGCCTGTTAGCAGGTCCAGCTTCACCTGTCTGCTGAACCTATAGTCGTGGTTCGTCTTGCTGGTGCTGTTGGTACCTCGCTGGATGTCTTGTGCTTGTAGCTCCTTGCTGGAAGCCTCTTGGCTCCCGGAGGTGCCATGGACGCACTGGTTGAGGGCAGAGCTTCTTCACATAACCTAGTTGGCCGCAGTTGAAGCACCGCCTTCCTGTCTTGATTGTACGCCCTGTTGGTGGTTCCCGTCGTTCCTGATGAGAAGTCGTCCCGTTCTTTAACAGCTCCATGGTCTGAAGTCGTTCCAGCTTCCGGGTGACTGCTTCCACGGATGTCGTATCAGCGTCTAGCAACTTCATGGTCCATTTACTTGGCACGGCTCGTGGCAGTTGCTCCAACAGCGGACTTTCCTGTGCCTCCTTAGACAATTCTGGCATGCCGTTACGCAGACGCTGCTGTAGGTTGAGCACAAACATACGAGGATTATCACCCACGTTCAATGCCTCTTCATAGAACCGGTGCACCTTTCTCTTCTCTTTCGGGCAGAGGAGGTTCCGGATGGCTTCTGCTGTCTCCTTCATGTCCTTTGGTGGGTTATTTTCCAATTCGTCGACCACCCAGGTTGTCCCATCTTGTAGCAGGGCCGGAAGAAGATCAAGCTCTCTCTTCACTTCTGCCATCAGCACGCACAGCCCGACGAAACTTCCTAAGAAACTCCTTCGCGCCGTCTGCGTCCGTGCAGGTGGGTGGCGACACTCCAGCAAACCCACTCCAGCTGCCTTGACCTCCGGCCGTCGTCATTACGACCTCACTTTTTACCTACGTCTTGTCCGGCTTCGTCGACATCTTGGTTTTTAGCCACCGGCCACGCGGAGCAAAAACACAAAGAAGACGAGAAGTACGCTACAAGACGTTTCACGGCGTTCCTCGCCCCCCTTGCGCCCACTTCGCCGCTACCGACGCGCACCAGATGGAGGTTTTCCTTCACATGAAGATCGCTTAGTGTA